TACTATAGGGAAAGTGCACTCAGCAGAGAGACAGAGAGGGAGAGAAAGTGAGAAATCACCTCCCAGGGTGGATGGCCACATCACAGTTCCTTCATTCACCTTTTTGGATCTCGGGCATACAGTCACACACTCTTATACCCAATGTGACTTCCAAGCCTCCAGGTTCAGGACTCAAACTGTGCAGTTGGCCGTAGGGTATCCAGTGCCTTAACCTCCACGCCACCTGATGGCCCTATATCTTTTTTTTTTTTTTTTTTAATTGCTAGAGTGTGTGTTGTTTGCCAAGAAAACAGATGAGGAGGGAGAAAGCTCCCCTAATGGGGTGTGTTCATGCTGCAGTCTCCATCCTATTGAGATTTTTGGGGCACATGTGTTTCTCCAGCCATTGGGGCTGGGACTTGAACTCTGATCATCCAGATGGGATTCAGCTCCCTTTAACCACTAGGTCATGGGACTAGCCCTATGATTGTATGTATGAAGTACAAAGTGATGTCATGATTTATGAATCATTGTGAAATATAAATCAAGCTAGTTAGCATCTCTGTTACCTCAGACACTTCCTTTTTGTTGTGAGGACATTAAATTTACTATCTTAGCAATTTTAAACAATTTAATTTTCACTACATTGTCATATTTAGATTAAAAATGAAATCCACTGGGGCCAGTCCAGTGGTTAAGGCCCTGGACTCCCATGTCGTCCACTGTGGTTTGAGTCCCAGACTCAGTGGCTTGGAATTCATGCTGGGCACCTGTACATGCATACTCAAAATCCTAAGAGGAGAGTGGAGAAGAAGGGATTGCAATGTGGCCATCCATTGAGGGGTGATTTCTTGCTTTCTCTGTCTCTGTCTCTGTCTCAGGGAGTGCTTGCACCCTATAGCAAAAATCTCTCTAAATAAATAAATAAAACCCAGGTAGTCCCCTCTTATTTTAGACTTTGTATCCTTTTACCATTCCTAGCTTTTTTTTTTTTTTTTTGAGATAGAGATTTTTGCTGTAGAGTGCATATACTCACCAGAGTTACAGAGACAGAGAGACAGAAAGCAAGAAATCACCCCCCAACCCCAGGGGGGATTGCCACTCTGCAGTTCCTTCTCTTCCATTCTCGAAATTTTGTGTATGCACATATATACACCTGGTGTGAGTTTTAAGCTGCCAGGTCCAGGACTAACTAGAACCATGTTCAGGCATTTGAGAATCCAGTGCCTTAACCACTACGCCACCTACTGGCCTTTCTAACCATTCTTTATGATCCTCCAGTTGTGTTACTCTTGTGCCACTATTCTATTCACTGCTTCTATGAGTTTTACTATTTTAGATTCCCCATTTAAATGAGAATATGTAGTATCTGTCTTTCTGTGCCTGACTTACTTCATATAGTATAGTGTTCTCAGTTTTTACCTACCTTATTGCAAATGACAGAATTTCCTCCTTAACTTTAGGGCTTGCCCTGTAACCTAGTGGTTCAAGGAGCTCAGGTCCCATATGGCCAATCAGGGTTCAGATCCTTGCTCTGGCAGTTGAAAAACATGCCAGGCAAGTGTATGTGCATGCCCCAACTCCTGAAAGAATAGAGAAATGGAGAAGGGATTTGGTGTGATCATACCCCATTGGGAATGCGTTCTACCTGTCTAGCTCTAGTAAAGTACACAAGCCCTCTAGCAATTAAAAAAAAATAAAATTTATTTACTTATTTCTTCCATGAGAGAGACAGAGAGACAGACAGACACCTTCTTTCCCCAACAGGGTCCTCACACCATGATCCACCCCAAATGTAAGCTGGCCTGCACCATGGGCATGTGTATGCACACTTGGTATGCTCAGGAAGGTCCTAGGACATGAGATCAGAATCTTTTTTTTTTAATAATTATTTATCTAATTTTATTCATTCATTCATTTTATTTTCATTCAACTAGAGGGGGACAGAGAGAGAGAGGGAAAGTGAGAAAGCAAGCCACGAGGTCCAGGACTTGAACCGCAGTCAGTCATGTTGGAGTATCCAGCACCTTAACCACCACGCCATCTGCTGGTCCCGAGATCAGAATCTTCATGTTGGCCGATTTGTATTACTTCTGTGCACCCACTGGCCCCAGAATTTCCTCCTTTTTTAAGGTCGAATAGTACTCCTTTTTGTATGTATAGCACATTCCTATCCATTCATTGTTAATGGACCTTAGGTTGATTCCATTTATTGACTCTAGTTTATTTTGTTACATGAACATGGAAATTCAGACATCTGTTCAACATACTAAATTGAGTCTTTTAGGTAATTACTTAAAAGTGGCATTGCTAGATTGAATGCTTGGTCCTTTAAATGTGTCTTGGCTCTTGGATCTTTGATCCAATAATTGGTTCTGCAGGTTCCAGTTTGGGTAGGATTTGTGCTGGTAACAACACCTAAAGCTTAAGGATAAGCAGTCCACAGGGATATTGAGAGGATGGTGAACAGTGTGGTTAGCCTTGTGGGATCCAGCCACCCCAGAGCTTTTTTTGTATTGAATGCATAAGTAACTTTATTGGGAGAAGTATCTACCTCTCCCCAGACCTCCAATTAGTACTACTGCTTTATTCTTATAGCTTTGTATATTTCAATATATAGTAAGGTCATTTCTACTTTGCCACCTTTTTTTCCCCTGATAACTTTTGAATACGCTTAAGGAACTCAGAGAACATTATCCCTGTCAGTCTCATAGTTGACATTGTTATTGAAGTTAGCAAACTCCATTAATCTGTGGAAAGTATTTATACTTTTATATCCTTCCTAATAAGGAATATATGATATAATCTGGCTAATTATAGCTAGAATTTTTAGCTTTCTGCATATATGGTTTCTCAATTTTTTTTTTTTTGCTTTTGTATGTTTAGCATATTGCATTTTCTAAAATATCCTCTTTTATGGAAAAAAGATGTGCTGGATTTAAAAGAACCATGTAGAAGATAGAACACTGACCAGTTTAAGAAATAAATAATAAGCCAGCTGGTGGTGTGGGGTTAAGGTGATTTGATTTCACATGGCTGACTGCATGATTTGAGTCCTGGACTCAGTGACTTAAAAAGGCATGCTAGGTACCTATGCATGTGTGCCCAAAATCCTGATAAAAGAATGGAAGAGCAAGGATTTGGATCTGGCCATCTGCCCTGAGGAGCACTTCCTCACTTTTCCCCCCTCCTCCCTCTCTCTCTCTCTCTCATTCTCTGTCTCTCTCTAGTGAGTGCCCATTCCCAATAGCAAAATTTAAAAAAAAAATAGTAACAATAAGGATTTTAGCCCGGTTTTATACTAGTTTCTACTACCTGGGCAAATTAAACTTCTCCGTGACAGTTTCCTTACCTGTCAAATTAATTTGCTCAAATTCTCTTTCATTCTTCTTAGTCTTCTTTCTAGAGAGTAGAATATGGCATACTCAAAGATGGATAGATGTGCTTAGATTCAGTTCAGATTCTCTGTGATCTCCCAAACTATGGGCCTGAGGCACAGGCAAGGGACCCTTCCTGGCTTCTTGGTTCATTTTTTTACTCCCTCCTTTTTCTTAGGGGACTTTATCTTTTGTAGAACTAGTATACTGGGTTTTTTGTTCATAGATGAGTAAGAAAAAAAGCTGTCACCTAGTCACTTCCCTTGAGGCACTTGTTTTAAACCCAGAAATGTTCTGCAAGGGGAAAAAACACAGGCAGTATCACAGTTTGAAAAATATTGCAAAGGTGGGACCAGCAGTTAGTGTAATGGCTATGTCGCTGACTCCCATGTAATCAACCGTGGTTCGTGTCCCGGACCCGGTGGCTTAAAACTCACGCCGGGCGTGTGTGCGTGTGTGCCCAAAATCCCGAGAGGAGAACAGAGGAGAAGGGATTGCAGCGTGGCCATCCCCCCTGGGGGGTGATTTCTCGCTTTCTGTCTCTCTGTCTTTCTCTGTCTGTCTGGCGAGCGCACGCGCCCTATAGCAAAAACCTCTTAAAAAAAAAAAGGTATACAAAAAAAATACTGCAAAGGTTATGGTTTGAATTGTAAAGTGTTGGTTAATTGTGACTTTAGTGTTAAAATATGTATGGCAAAACAGGAATTTCTGGGGCTGTTGAGGTGTACCTGTGTTCTTTAAACACCGTGCATGCATGAATAGCTTGATTTCTTTATTCTGGTTTTTAAGTTCATTTACTTCTCTGAAACTACAAAATTACTAGTTCTTAAGTTTTTGTACGATTTAAACTTAACCTCCTTCTAAATGTATTATAATTCTGGTTATTTAACAAATGCCACAACATAATCTCTGCAGCCTAGAATTAATTTTGCAAACCTTTTCTACAGAATTTAAGAAGATTTTGTTCACGTGCATGGCCTAGAAGATGAATTCTTCCTCGTCCACCATGAATGAAGAGCCTGACGCTCTGTCGGTAGTAAACCAGCTACGGGATCTAGCAGCAGACCCCTTAAATAGAAGAGCCATCGTTCAGGATCAGGGATGTCTGCCTGGCCTTATTTTGTTTATGGACCATCCCAACCCCCCAGTCGTCCACTCAGCTTTGCTCGTAAGTTGCCTTTAGTACTTTCAGACTAAGTGTTTTAATTTTGCAATTAAGGAGAATTTGAACAAGTATTAAATGATAAGATTAAAATTAAGAGGCTATAGAGCAAGCAAGTTTCTAATTTTTACTTGCAAGTGGTAGTATTCTTTCATGTGTTTGCTTTTATTCATGGTAGTGAGCATGTGCATGAGAGAGAGAAACAAGCACCCTTGGTTGGATCTGGTCACTCTTTGATCCCCTTTTTCCAGTGCACAGGGATGATGGACATAACCATGCACTCCTGGAGCATTTTAGGGTAACCAGGCTGGGGATCCAAACTGTGGTTGGCTGTATGGCTTCCAGCACCGCAGTCTTAAGTACTTCAGACTTTGTCATCAGGCTGGGTCTTACTATTGCAGTTTATAGCAGGTTTTTCTTTTTTTTTTTTTAATAGAGATTTTTACTGTAGGGTGCATATGCTTACTGGAGGAACAGAAAGCGAAAAATCACCCCCTGCCCCGGGGGGAGAGGGTGGCCACGCCACAGACCCTTCTCCATTCTCCTCAGGACTTTGGGCATGCATGAACCTGGTGTGAGTTTTAAGTTGCTGGGTCTGGGACTTGAACTGTGGTTGACTATATAGGAGTCCAGCAGCCTAACCATTATACCATCTGCTGGTTCCCAGTGTAACAGCTTTTTAAGATTGAGATCAGATACCATTATATAATTCATCTTTTTGGAGCAGTCATTAGTCTTTAGTATATTCACAGAGTTGAGCCACCATTACCAAATTTGAAACACTTTTATCACGTTTATTTATTAAAAAACCATACCCTTTACCTATTGCTCTCAAACTGCCTAGTCCCATCCTAAGCAACCATTAATCTATTTTCTGTTTCTATTTGCTTATTTTCACAAGAAAGCCTATGTTTTTCTTGTAATAGAATCATATAATATGTGGCCTTTTGTGACTGGTTTATTTCACTTGGCATTATTACATATAATATATTTATAATATATGTGAATATATGTATTTTATATATAATATTATATACATACACAAAGAGAGAGAAAGGGGAAAACTGTGCTATGACTGGGGCATAGTCATACCACAGTCCCTTCTCCATTTCTCCATCTTGTCAGGATTTTGGGCATGTACATGTACCTGGTGTGTTTCCAAGCCTCTGGGCTGGGACCCAAACTCCGTGGCTGGCTGCATGTGATCTGACTCCCTTAAATATCAGACCACAAGGCTGACTGAATTTTTTTTTTTTTAATTGCTAGAGGGGATGTGCCCTCATCAGAGAGAGAGAGACAGAGAGGGACAGAGAAGGAAAGGGAGAGAGCACCTCCTTAGTGGGATGTGGTCAAGTCACAATCCCATCTCCATTTCTCCATCCTATTGGAATTCGGGGCACATACATACACGCACTGGCATGTTTTTTCCAGTGGTCAGGGCCAGAATTGAAACCGAGGTTGACCACATGGGATCTGGTTCACTTAACCATTAGGCTACTGGGCTGCTCCAGTGTAATATTTTCAAGGTTTATCTATACTGTGTTATGTATCAATATATCATTTCTTTTTATGAATGAATGATATTCTAGTGTGTGAACATGCTATATTCTGTTTGCCCAGTATTAGTTAATGGACACAGCCCTTGTTTTAAATATAAGATGAGAAAGGAAGACACAAATATACAAGATCATAGTTAATAATACAAAAGGAACTATTATGAGAACTGTGGGGGCTAGAAAAATAGGCTAAAGAACAATAGAAAGTACTGCAAATCCAGAATGTAGCTATTTCTTGAAAACAGTCTGGTTCCTTGACCAATAAATGGTATTTTTAAAAAAGGCAGTTGGAATAGAAAAGAGGAATAAATGCTATAAATTAAAAGATACCTAAGGGACATATCAGCCAAATGTAATATGTAGATATTGCAATCCTGACTTGAACAAGTTAACCATAGGATTTGTACATAACTGGAAATGAATATGGATCAGATAGTACATAGTATTAAAGACTCATTGCTTTCTCAGAGTATTACAAGGATGTTTCTATTAAGTTAATTTTTGAAAAAAATCATAGGTGTGTACTGAAGTATTTACAAATGAAATTGTATGTTCTCTGATACTTGCTGTAAAACATGCAATTCTGCAGTGTGGTTATGGACAGGAGATAGATGAAACAAGATTGCTTTTGGAGTTGAAGCTACATGATGGGGACATAGGTGTTATTACTATACATTTTCTCTTTAAAGCATTCTAAAATTTTCCTAGCAAAAATGTAAAAGAAAATTAATGTAATAGAAATTTTAATCATCACCCATTACTTGAGAACCATGATAAATTCCCCATTTAGTCTAATTTCATGAGCTTGTATTAAATATGCTTTTCCTTTTGCAAAGTCAAACTGTATAATACAAATGTTCTATTTTGCCTACACATAATGAAGTTTAAAAGTCAGAACAAACATTATTAGAAAAGAGAATAATAGTAACAAATGGGAAAAGTTGCATGGCCCTTAGTTTGGAACCTGTTTTATTAAGAAATGCAATGAAGGGGCCAGCAGGTGGTATAGTGGTCAAGGCGCTGGACTCCCACATGGTCAACACCATTTAAGTCCTCGACTGGCAGCTTGAAACTCAGGCCAGGTGTATGTGCATGCCCAAAATCCTGAGAAGAGAATGGAGAAGAGGGGATTGCAGCAGTGACCATCCTCCCTGGGGGGTGATTTCTCTGTTTCTGTCTCTCTGGCAAGCACAGATGCCCTATAACAAAAATCTCTAAAAAAAAGAAAGAAAGAAAAAAATGCAGTAAAGATGAGAAGAAAAAGAGGGGAAGAGGTCATTGGTCTCTAGGTAGAGACTTGGTAGTAAAGGAATTTTTTTTTCTTTTCTTTTTTTCTTTTTTTTTTTTTAAATAGACTGGCATTGAATGTATCTAACTGCAGATGGCAAGACCTATTAGAGTGGGAAAGGTTTGAGTAGAAGGCTCTCATAATTAAAAAAAAAAATTATTTTATTTATTTATAATTTGATCAGAAAGGGACAGAGCAAGAGTGAGACAGAGAGAGAGAGAGAGAGAGAGAGAGAGAGAGAGAAGAGAGAGAGAAAAGAGAAAGACACCATGTCCAAG